CCCGCGCTGCCCTCCGACCCACCCGGAGGCCTCTGCGCGGGGCTGTGCAGAGCCGACAAGTCCAACGCCGCCGCCTTCTCCCGAACCGTGGCCATGACCGCGGCGGGAGAAACTACGCCGTCCGCTCCGCCGCCGCTGCTCCGCAAACTGCGCGCCCGCGCTCGAGCCTCGGGTTAACTGGCCGGGCTGGGGGCGGGGCTCCAGGGACTCCGCCCCCTACGGGTCACGTGTCCTGCCGGCCGTCTCCCTGGCAGAGGTCCCGGCGCTCCAAAACGCCTCAGGCCACTCAAGGTGGGTGGTGCCCAGGTAAAAAGTTCTCCCAGCGCGGCCTTTCGAGGGCTCCTCGGCACTAGCCCGAGGCTAGACCCCTCGGGAGTCTACCCTCGCCCCAGCCCGAGCCCCACTGCTCCCGGTCTCAGTGCCCTCACCTGCGAGTTTTAGGACCAGGTTGGCTGGGCTTTTTAATGAAGATTACCTGAACCAACGTTCAGCGTTTAGTATTTGGGCCATAAATGCTTCCAAGTGTGTCATGATAATAAATGCTTCGAGTTGTTTTTTTTTTTTTTTCTTTTCCCATAGATCCCGTCCCTCTAAAGAGCAAACAGCCTTATCTGGCCCAGGAGAGCAATGTCCAGAGGTCAGAGAGGACCGCTGCCACGAAAGATCAAGGGACTGCCTGGCAAGGAAATCTGTGATGATTCTAAATTAACCCCGGGTCTGGTGAGCATGGGGCATGCCGCGGGAAGGAGAAAGTGGGAGAGCAAGCTGGAGGAGGAGGAGAAGGGAGAGGGCTGTTGGAAGCATCTGGGTTTCTTGGGTAGTTGAGGCAGGGAAACCAGAGGCCAAATCCTGGGGTAAGTCCCCAAGGCTGAATGGTGTAGATCATTAACCCAACTGACGGATGCATGCCCATTTATTTTTTTCTTTCCTTTCTTCTTTTGAAGAAAGACTGGGTCTTTATACCCTAACTGACTGAATATGCTCTGTAGACCAAACTGGCCACGAACTTGAGAATTTCTGGCTGCCTTTGTCTCCGAGTGCTGGGAGTAAAGGCATGCAGCCCGCATTGCTCGCCCTTTGTTTAGCTCCCTCCCTCTTTGGGGGCTAGAGAAATGACTCAGTCAGTAAGAAGAGTTCCTGCTGCACTAACATAGGATTAGAGTTCCGTTCCCAGTACCCATATACCGGCTCACAACCGGTAACAACTTGTCAATAATTCCAGCTCCAGGGTTTCTGATGCCCTCTTCTGACCTCCGTGAACTCAAATCTTCATGATCATGGCTGTGCAGCAAGTTCTAACCACTGAAGTACCCTGGAAAAACAAATCTTGACAAATATTAACATTAAATCTTTTGGCAGGCTAGCCTAATGATGATTTTGGTATTTTATGTCGTTCAGAGGCATTTTGTCCCCACGAGTTTATGTTGTCTTGTCCCTCCTAATTAGAATACTGGCGTTTTTAAAAGAATCTACATTGAATGTACTCAGGGAGACCTACCCCTCTTCCCACCTTCTTCACTGCACAGATTTGCCCCTCCATTTGTAGTACTTATTAAACGCATAATTATTCAGTCTCCCCTTGTAGACTTTGTTCTGAGGTAGGGTTCTGCTCTGTAACCCACAGTGGCTCGGCACTCACCGTGTGTGGAGCTCGAGCTAGCTTCAAACCTATGACAGTTCTGCCGCAGCCTCCCAAGTCCTGGGATTATAGGTACAACCCACCCAGGGCTGGCTCATGAACAGTGTTTTTATTCCTTGTACAGAATACTTTAAAATCACTTTTATCATTAGCTCTTCTCAAGCCAATCAGTATTGTCTAGCCCATGGGAAGAACTTCACTTGCTATAAACTGGTCTAAGAACAAACTTGCCTGAACCAGTCAGGAGGTAGAAAACAGAACAGAAACTTTATGATTCATAATCTATTCTGTTCTGGCACAAATATAAAAAAAAGGAATCTTGAAGAGGAGGAGCCGGAAGGAGAGGAGGGAGAGGGAACGGCTTTTGGAATGTAATAAAAATAAATACCCCCCCCAAAAAAAGAAGAGGAGAATACTCTTCTGTTATCTCCAGCAATATAAAAACGGTGATGATGATGATGATGGCGGCGGGGGAGGGGTTCTTTTGTAGTTTTTGCAAAGCTAGGGCTCCAGCCCTGGAACTCATGTGCTAACGGTTATATACCACTGAGCCACACCTCTAGCTCCAGGCAGGTTTTATTATATTATCATTTCTTTTTCAACATAAAGGTTTCTGGTTTGTGTTGTTGTTGTTGGTTTTGTTTCTGCTGTTTCTGAGACAGGGTTTCTGTTTAACTGCTCTGGCTGTCCTGGAACTCACTTTGTAGACTAGACAGACCTAGAACTCAGAGATCCACATGCCTCTCCCTCCCAGTGCTGGGATTAGAACCACTGTCTCCCGGCTACTTTATTTGCTTTATTGACTGTGTCTCATAATGTAGCTCTGGATGGCTTAGAAATTTTAGGTAGACTAAGTTAGCCTCCAACTCACAGAGATCTGCCTGCCTCTGTCTCCTGAGTGCTGGATTAAAGGGCATGTGTAAACTGGCCTTGAATTCCTGGGTTTAAGCAATCCTCCTGCCTCAGTCTCCTGACTAGCTGGGACTAGAGGTGCTTGCCACCTTGAACACTCTTCCATAGTCTCTTGAGCACTCCGTAGCCTTTGCATTAGCTCCTGTCTCATGGCTCCTGCCTTGATTTCTCTTGGATGATGGGCTTTAGGACGAAATAAACTTTTTCCTCCTCAAATTGCTTTTGTTCACAGTGCCTCATCACAGCAACAGAACCTTTTTTCTTTTAAGGTGGAATAATACTACATTATATCACATGTTCTGTCCATTCCAACGCTCCATCTCAGATCCACCTCCATCTCCCCACCTCCCCAACTTTATGTATGCTTCAATGCATGCTCTTGTGGGTAAACTTGCTCTGTCCCTTAAATCTATCAAGCTCAGTTTGTGTTGGGATAGGGTCTGCCCTAGACTGTGGTTCATATACCAGGGGTATACCTTTAAAAAAGCTTTCTCCCAGCAGCTCTCAAAAACCAATGGCATCTCAGCTAGAGGTGGGACTGTGTGCCCACATTCCCTCCTCCATGCTGGGATTTTTGTTGGCTTGAGCTTGGGTAGGTTTTGTATGTGGCATAGTTACTGTAACTTCATATGCGCATCTGCCTGCTGTGTCTGAAAAATGCTTATTTGAGGGGTTAGGGTTTCATTGTTTCTTTTTTGTCATCCACGTGTCTCATATTCTTTATTCATTTTTCTATCAGTGGGCATTCCAACTGTTTCCCCATCTTTTTGTTTGTTTGTTCAGACAGTGTTTCTTTGTATAGCCCTGGCCTGCTTCTGCCTCCCGAGTGCCAGGATTAAAGGCATGCACCACCACCGTCTGGCTATTTTCACTTCTTGATACTTGTGTATAATGCTCCCCTGAACATGGGTGTGTAAATATCTCTTGAAGATTCCATTTTTGGAGCTGGAGAAAGAGTTCCGTGACAGAACACTTGCTTGGTGTGTATGAGGCTGAGTTCCATCCCCTCAAATACACACATTCAGAGAGCCTTTCTTCAGATCATTGGCTGTGTACCCAGAAGCAAGACATCCTATCACATTGTAATCTTGTTTAGTTTTGTTTTTTAAGAACTTCTCTTTTTTTCAGTAATGGTCACGTCATTTTACATCTCCACAAGCAATGTACCAGAGTTCAAACTTTTCTACACGATTGATATTTTAAAATTTTCATGTCTTTAATGATTTAGTGGTTCTGAGAATCTTTCCATTTCCTCCCAGTGCTGGAGCTGGAACTTAAAGCCTTCTACAAGCTAAGCAAGCATTCTGCCACCGAGTTACATCTCCAGTCTTGTTTTGGTTTCATTTTGAGGTAGGATCTTGCCACATAACACAACTGGCTTCAAGTGTGGGATCTTCTTTTTATTATTACTATTATTATTGTTATTATTATTATTACACATTTTCACCTCTTCCCCTCCTCCCATTTCCCTCCCCCTCCTCCCATTCCCCCCCCTCTTCTTCAGTCCAAAGAACAGTCAGGGTTCCCTGCCCTGTGGGAAGTCCAAGGTCCTCCCCTCTCCATCCAGGTCTAGGAAGGCGAGGATCCAAACAGGTCAGGCTCCCACAAAGCCAGTCCACGCAGTAGTATCAAAACCCAGTGCCATTGTCCTTGGCTTCTCAGTCAGCCCTCCATATCAGCCACGTTCAGAGAGTCCGGTTTGATCACATGCGCCATCAGTCCCAGTCCAGCTGGCCTTGGTGAGCTCCCATTAGATCAGCAAGTGTGGGATCTTCTTGCTGAAACTTCTTGCATGCTGGGATTGCAGACATGATGTTGAGAATTAGTTCATATGCTTACTGGCCATTTCTGTGTCTTCTATGAGAAACATTTGTGGTAACTTTTGCTCATTTTTGAATTAGCTCACTTTTGAAAAATTTTAATTGAATTTTTGTGTGTGTATGGATGTTTTGCCTTCATGTATGTCTGTGAACCAGAGATCAGAAGATGTTGGATCCCCTGGAACTGAAGTTACAGATGGTTGTGAGCTACCATGTAGGTTCTGGACATTGAACCCTGGTTCTCTGGAAGATCAACCAGTGCTCTTAACAATTAAGCCATTTTTCCAGTCTGGGTCTATAGTCAGACATTTTTTCAGGACCATCGGCTCCCAAAAATGACACAGAGAATTATTACTAATTATCAAGGCTCAGCCAATAGCTTAGGCTTGTTTCTAACTCGCTCTTATAACCTTTTGCCTTGTAGCTTTATCATCTCATCCCATAGTGCCCATCCTGTTTGTTCTGCATCTGGCTGATGACTTGGCCTTCTCAGCATTTCTCTCTACCCCCAAATCCTGCCTATGTTTCTATTAAACCAGTCAGAGTGACACATTTTCACAGTGTACAAAAAGACTATCTCACAACATGGGCTCCTGTTTTGCTTTTGTTGTTGTTATTAAGTTATATTTCTTTTTAATATTAACTCTTTATTAGATTTGTGATCTGCAATTATTTTCACCACTTGTTTATTTATTTATTTGTAGACAGAGTTTCACATAGCCCAGGCTGGCCTGGAACTCAGTTTTCTCAGGGATGACTTCGAATTTCTGATCTTTCAGCTTCCTACTGAGTGCTAGGGATTAAACCACGGGCTACCAATTGAGCTAATATCTGTAGCTCCCTATTTCACATCTGTATTTCATAGCTTATAACTCTCCCCACAGGGCTGACTTTGCTGTTTGTTCCTCTTGCCTGCTGTTTGCTTTTGTTTGTGTATTCCTGTTGTGTTTTACACTCAATCTCATGCAGCCCAGACTGGCCTCTTGCCTATGCTTTTGTTTCTTTGTTTGAGGTAGGGTCCCACTGCATAGCTCTGGCTGTCTATGGGGACCTCCCTCTATGTAGATCTAAACTCTCTATGTAGATCAGTGTGGTGGTTTGAAACAAAATGGCCCCCAAAGGGAGTGGCACTATTAGAAGGTGTGGCCTTGTTGGAGGAAATGTGTCACTGTAGAAGCAGGCTTTGAAGTCTCATATATGCTCAAGATAATGCCTAGTGTCTCAGACCACTTCCTGTTGTCTGTGAGTCAATATGCAAGAAATCTCAGCTACTTCTCCAGCCTGCAAGATCTAGGGCACTCAACTACCTTTCCAGTAGCATGTCTGCCTGTAAAAGGAGATTGTGCATT